GAACCCTCAGTTTGTTCTCTATAGTTAAGAGTCTGTTTTACGGTTTGCCTCATTCTCTCTTTTTCCCCCCTATATTCATTTGTTTGTTCTATTTTAATTCTTAATTATTTTCTCAGAATTAAGTTTATAATAGTTTTTCTCAGCCTTAGATTTTGAAGAGATTTTTTTTTCTTAGCAATTAAGTAAAAAACTTATTTTGTTATTAACAGAGAAAGATACCACAATCACTATGTGTTTCTCTACCAATTTTGTGGTTATATCTTAAGAAACTGTCCTTTTATTCTATATGACTTGAGAGAGTCAAAATACTCCTACATTTGCATCACTCTTTTCCCTTGTTTTATTCTGACCAAAAATACTGTTTTTATCCAGAATGGATCATTCTTTTTTTTTTTTAAATAGACTTCCAGCCACCCCCAGAATGGATTATACTGACTAAAAAATACTACTGTTTTAGCCAGAGTGGATTTTTATAGAGAGGCAGTAGAGATTCAATAGCTCTAGGTCTGGAGTCAGATTCTGGAATCAAGTCCCAGCCTTTTCCTCACCTGTGACCTTTAGCAATTTTTATTTAACTCTGTCAGCCTCAATCACCTCAGTTGTATACTGGGTATAGTAATAGTACCTACCCAATATGCTAGTTGTGAGGGTTAAACAAAGTGTTAAACCATGTGTCTGTTGCAATTAATACTTAATAAATTTTAACTCTTTAATCAGTATGTATGCTTTCTTAAATTTACAGACATATATTCCTGATATTCATTTGTAAATGAATGTATTTGGTATAAACTTGCATTATACAAAAAGTAGGTTTTTGTAGTCTGTCTGAGGCAACCTACATAGATACATAGTGTACCTAAAGTATAGTTGAATAAAACCCTGAAACCTGGCCCCCAGAAATAATATTCCTACAGAAAATACATTCAGAATTTCACTTTGAGGTTCCTTTCCCTTTGCACTGTTAGCAGGGACCTTGAAGCTCCTAAAAGCATGGTATAGCAGTGAGATGCAAGGAAAGGAATAAGAATAAATTTGTTAAGGGTGATCTATGAAAAAAGATTAAAACAGGTTTTTTTTTTTTTTAAAGATTTTATTTATTTGAGAGAGAGAGGGCACAAGTGGCGGGGGGTGGGGGGAGGGCAGAGAGAGAGGGAGAAGCGGGCTACCTACTGAGCAGGAAGCCCATCATGGGGCTTGATACCAGGACCCCAGCATCACAACCTGAGCAGAAGGCAGAGGCTTAACCAACTGAGCCACCCAGGCCCCCCCAAAGAGGAGTTCTTAACCTGGCACTGTAGCTTCAGGGAATCCATGAATTCTGTGAAATATATGCAAAAGTATTTTATGTATGTGAGATTATATTTTTTTAGATATAACCCATTAAGAGCTGCCAGTTTTCCTGTTATACCTCTTGGGATTTGTTTCTAGACTTTTTGTTTGCTTAAGATTTTCATTGAGACATTGACATTTGTTTTGATGAATTTTTTAGGTTTCTTTCATGCAAATGCATTTTTGCTAAAAAGAATAGGTTCTTCAACCAACTCTACCAAACCCCTTGACTCATAAATCCAGTACTCTTTCATGGTCTTGTGTTAATTTACAGATGACTTTGTCTTCAAAATCTTCCCTGTTTAATTCATTAGCCAAAGTTACAAACCTTTTTACTGCTCTTATATACGACACTCTTTTTTTTAAAGATTTATTTATTTATTAGAGAGAAAGCGAGCATGCTTGGTGGGGAGGGGCAGAGTGAGAGAAAATCTCAAGCAGACTCCCTGTGGACTTGGAGCCTGAGGTGGGGCTGGATCTCACAACCCTAAGATTATGACCTGAGCTGAAATCAAGAGTCAGATGCTTAACTGACTGAGCCACCCCAACACCTCTATATGATATTCTTTTGTGAAATAAATACTAATTCAGACTATAATCATAATTACAGAATTATTACTAATAACTTATAATCTAAAACCCATAGTATCTCCGTACCATTCAGCTGAGTGAGCCATTTCGAAATGACTATTAATATTTAAAAGCCATGTATAAAATGGAAATTCTAGTATCTTTTGATATATGGCACTTTTTCTAAACTTTATTTTTTTTTAAACAAATGATTTTTTTCAACTTAAATCCCATTTGATTATATTGGCAATTTTCCAGCCAATATGTTCTTTTTCATCCTTTTAAAATTGACTTTGTCTTCTGCCAATAACCTGTCATTGTGTTACTATAAACCATGGTCTAGAAAATCAAATCATATTCTTCAATATCATTTACACAGTCATATTTCATTCTCTGTATTTCTCCTCTGGAGGTCTAACCTCTAAGAAAATACAAATGCTTTCTTAAATGTTTTCATTAACAATGAAGAACTTAAAAATCACTAAAAATACCTCCAAAAATTAGATTCACCAATCTCCCTCAATAATTCAATGTGGCCATAACTAGCAAGAAATATTCCTGTATAATTTGCTTACATTTCTTATGTTTTAAGATTTTTACTTTGCTTCCATTAAAAAAAAACAGTTGACCTTTCTTAGTATAGAAAATATTCACTTGATTAAAGTATATATGAAAAAGTATTGTAGATAAGGGACTAAATTATTGAGCCAGATTGCTTCGGTTTGAATCCCAGAGCTACAGTTGTTTTTGTTTGTTTGTTTTTGTTTATTTGTTTTTAATTTTATTATGTTATGTTAGTCACCATACAATACATCATTGGTTTTTGATGTGGTGATCCATGATCCATTGTTTTCGTATAACACCCAGTGCTCCATGCAGTACGTGCCCTCCTTAACCCATCACCGGGCTAACCAATCCCCCCTCCCCTCTAAAACCCTGTTTGTTTCTCAGAGTCCATAGTCTCTCATGGTTCATCTCTCCCTCCAATTCCCCCCCCCCATTTTTCCCTTCCTTCTCCTAATGTCCTCCATGCTATTCCTTATGTCCACAAATAAGTGAAACCATATGATAATTGACTTTCTCTGCTTGACTTATTTCACTTAGCATAATCTCCTCCAGTCCCATCCATGTTGAGGTAAAAGTTGGGTATTCATCCCTTCTGATGGCTGAGTAATATTCCATTGTATATATGGACCACATCTTCTTTATCCATTCTTCTGGTGAAGGGCATCTCGACTCTTTTCACAGTTTGGCTCTTGTGGACATTGCTGCTATGAACATTGGGGTGCATATGGCCGTTCTTTTCACTACATCTGTGTCTTTGGGGTAAATACCCGGTAGTGCAATTGCTGGGTCATAGGATACCAGAGCTACAGTTTTTTAAGTGACCTTGGGCAACTTACTTAACTTCCCTCTGCCTTAGAAATTCTTTTTTAACTTATTCCCTCATCTTTAAAATGGAGAGACTAATATCTTCCTCATGGGTGATTATGAGGATTAAATGAATAAAAAGAAGTTCCTAGAATTTAGTATTGTTGTTTTTGTTAATACTGCCTCAAAAGTTTTTTATAATAATCAGTTTCCTTTTTTAAAAAGAGCTTTATTTACCACACTTTTATTAAAGATTTTTTAAGATTTATTTCTCCAGAAACCCAAACCTGGAATAGAGTTTTGTTGTCAGACACAAGACCTGACTAAATCCTGGTTGGCTATTTACTAACCATGTCTGTAGACAGTTTTTTAAACTTTTAAGTTTCAGTTTGTGCATGTATAATATGGGTACTATAGGAGAACCTACATCATAAGCATAATGTGGTGATTAAATGAAATATACTGCCTTTGGCCAGTGCCTGGCACATATTAAATACTCAGGAAATGGTAACATTTAGCATTACATGGTCCATGTCCTAGTAAAAACAGAATCAGTTGTGAGTACTGAGATTATTTCTTGGCTATTAAATATGCTTCTTAATTATCTTTGTGCAATTGCTTTACTTGCAGTTTGGGATTCACCGAAATCCTGTGTTTTGTTTTGTTTTTTCCCCCCACAAATCAGACTTTCTTACTTAACAAGTAAATATAACTTTCAGTTTTTGAGCATCAGCCCAGTCAACTGAGATTATTTTCATTTGAATATTTATCTTTAGAAGATTGATTCTGGGTATTCTCCAAGCTGGGACTAGAGGTATCCTGTTCAGAGTAGCCAGATCAAACCATTGGACAATTTGCAATCTATTAGAAACAACTATGGCTGCTGAAAAGATAGCTTATTGTATTCTAGGGCAGCTCAGTTATAAAGATTATAAAGGTAGCTCTGAATTATAGGGGTAACGCAATGACTGCATTTTAAGGATTGGTCAATCCATGGAGATTTGAAGTGGGAAGATTATTGACCTGTAAAGTTTTCTCCAGTCTCTCCATCAGGCCTCTGGAGAATGCCTTGAATTGTAAATTGATCCCTTTTCTGGCTAGGTTCCAGAAGGTAAAAATAAGTATACTTTAGACTCTTTTTTTTTTTTTTTTTTTTGAGAGGGAGTCGGGGTAAGGGGCAGAGGGAGAGAGAGAGAGAGTTTTAAGCAGGCTCTACACCCAGCACAGAGCCCCATGTGCAGCTCAGTCTCACAACCCTGAGATCGTTACCTGAGCTAAAATGAAGAGTCAGACGCTGAACAGACTGAGCCACCCAGGGGCCCCCACTTTAGACTCTTAAGGCTTTCTCATTTTCATATGTATATATACAAACCAATTTGTTCTAACCATAGGAATTGCATATCCTGATTTGGAAATGAGGCTAAGGATTACTAGCTTCTCTGACAAATATTAGTGAGCTCTGTTTTTCTACTAGTAAAAAGCCTTATATTCAAATGATGATACTTTCCATAGATTTTAAGGTATTTAAGGCTTTTTATTGGCAATTAACAAAATTGGAATGGGGTACATAGAGCTAACACTGCCTTTTTTCTTCAGTGGATTCACATGTAGACTTAATTTTTTCTCATGAGAAAGGGTGTAAGTTTTAGATCAAATAACTAAGTTTGTTAAAACTATGGGAATTTTTTAATAATAATACAAGTTTATATTTAATATGTTTTCTTTTGTAGGTTTCTTCAGTTATTGGCGTGGCAATTTGGCAAATGTTATCCGATATTTTCCAACACAAGCTCTAAATTTTGCTTTTAAAGACAAATACAAACAACTTTTCATGTCTGGAGTAGATAAAGAAAAACAGGTAAGTACATTTTAATATCTGTTATTTTCTAAGAAATAGTTGGATTTGCCTTAACCTATGGTGTTTTATTTGGGGAGGAGGTGCTGAGTGGTAGAAGAAATATTAAAACATATACATGTTATAATCACTATTCTACTGCACTAGGAAAGTTCAAAAAAAGCAATCAACAGATTTGTATTCCTGCATATCTGAGGAATTAATTTCCTAAAGAAGTACATTTTTTCATTTTTATGACTAAGGCTCTATTTAGCTGAGATTAAAGTGCATAGGGAGATCAAGTCAAACAAAACAGAAAAGCAATAAGTTGGAGGATTCTTTTTTTTATTGAAAAAGTACTTTCTCTTTTCAAGGTAATCACTCCCTTGATTATAGAATTTCAATTTCAAAATTTCCTATTTGTATGAACTATATGTCATTTGTTTTGGTTTCTGTTTGTTTTGTTGCCTCCATATACACTATATCACCTACGTTACTCTTAAGGTCTTCCCGTTACCCTTACAAAGTCTCTCTTCCCCTTTATCCTTTCTCTTTTTCTCTTTCCTCCAACCAGCCAACCAACCAATTGAGCTGTCCTAGGAGGTTCTTTATAAAAGCAGCTGTTTTTATAACATTTATTTTTTGCTACCTTTTTAAATTTCTTTTCATATCCTTTATTCCCATTTTTTCACAATTTATATCTCTCTTTTTTTTAAGATTTATTTATTTATTTGAGAGAGATAGTGAGAGCAGGGGGACTGGGAGAGGGAGAAGCAGGCTCCCCGCCTAGCAGGGAGCCCAATGCAGGACTCGATCCCAGGACCCTGAGATCATGACCTGAGCCGAAGGCAGACGCTTGATGACTGAGCCACCCAGGCAACCCTCACAATTTATATTTCATTAACAAATGTTTAATGAGTAATTTGCACTATTTTGTCGTGGGAGATATAAAGGTAATGAAGAGAATTCTTTAGACTTAGAAGATCTGGATTTGGATCCTAGTGCTCTGTTATTTAGCTGTGTGAATTTTTAAAAAGTCACCTCTGTGATCCTTAGTTTTCTTATCTGAAAAAAGCTTATGACGTTTAGATGAAATGACTTGTAAAGTGTTTATCATAGTACTGTGCTTTATGGTAGGCACTGGGAAAAATATTCCTGTCTTTTTTAGCTGACAGCTGTAATAATTGGACTCAGAACCTGCATCAGAGGTCCCCAAGATCACCTTCATGTTCAGTGATTCACTAGGACTCAAAGAACTCAGAAAAGCTACTACACTTATGGTTTTTTACAGCAAAAAACTATAGATTAAAATCAGCAAAGGGAAAAAGCACAGAGGGACAGAGTCCAGGAGAAACTAGATGCAAGCTTCTAGTTATCTTCTCCTAGTAGAGTCACATGGACAGTACTTAATTCTCCCAGCAATGATGTGTGAGAATACATATGATGTGTTGCCAAACAGGGTTGCTCACTTGAACATTGGTGTCCAGGATTCTTTTGGGAGTTGTGTAGGCATGGAATGTGACTGTCCTTAGTTACTCAGACTCCAGCCACCACCCGCTAACCCAGGAGATCAAACTGATATAAGTTAGCCCAGTGTTCCAAGCATACAAAAACAGGTGTTCACCATAAATTCTCATGTTAGCATAAACTGTCTGGTGTGGTCCAAAGCCTCCAGCATACAAAGAGACTCTTACAGGTCGGATATTCCAAGGGCTTAGACATTATCGTGAAGGAACTGGTCAGGGGCTGGTCCTGAAGATCTCAGTATATGAAGGGTTTGGGCAATGCAGGCTTGCTGATTTAACTCTACTGAACACTTCCCACTCCACCTCCCCAAAAACATAATTTCTAGAAGACTAAGCCAAATGGAGAATTAACTCCTGAGTTAATCAGAATATTTATATTACTGGCATCTATTCCTAACAGTATAAATAACATTGTTCTAAAAGTTTTAAAGTCAACTTTGATCCTTGCTAAGTATCTGTAATAAATTTCAAATTAGTAGAACCTGAGGGAAAAACATCTTTAGTATTCCTATGAAAACATGCTATCTTATTTAGAATATAAAGGTATTCAAAGGTATATTAAATAAATATATATTTAAATATATACTATTTACTAAATTTGGATATTAATGACCCTTTTATTTCTGACTTTGGGCATCAAAATTTTATCTCATCTTTACCTCCCTAAAGTGAAGAAAAAGAACTAAAAAAAGGAAAATCATTATTTTTGGTTTCTTACCTGGTCTTAAAAGAAGCAAGGAAGAAAAAACAAATATAGTATGTGAGTTTAAAAGTGATCTCCAGATGGGCAGCAGATACATGAAAAAGTGCTCAACATTGCTCGGCATCAGGGAAATCCAAATCAATGAGATACCACCTCACACCAGTCAGAATGGCTAAAAATAATAAGTCAGGAAATGACAGATGTTGGTGAGGATGCGGAGAAAGGGGAACCCTCCTACACTGTTGGTGGGAATGCAAACTGGTGCAGCCACTCTGGAAAACAGTATGGAGGTTCCTCAAAAAGTTGAAAATTGAGCTACCCTATGACCCAGCAATTGCACTACTGGGTATTTACCCCAAAGATACAAATGTAGTGATCTGAAGGGGTACGTGCACCCCAATGCTTATAGCAGCAGTGTCCACAACAGCCAAACTGTGGAAAGAGCCAAGATGTCCATCGACAGATGAATGGATAAAGAAGAGGTGGTATATATACACAGTGGAATATTATGCAGCCATCAAAAGGAATGAGATCTTGCCATTTGCAACGACGTGGATGGAACTGGAGGGTATTATGCTAAGCGAAATAAGTCAGTCAGAGAAAGACATGTGTCATATCTCACTGATATGAGGAATTCTTAATCTCAGGAAACAAACTGAGGGTTGCTGGAGTGGGGGGGGTGGGAGGGATGGGGTGGCTGGGTGATAGACATTGGGGAGGGTATGTGCTATGGTGAGTGCTGTGAATTGTGTAAGACTGTTGAATCACAGACCTGTACCTCTGAAACAAATAATACGTTATATGTTTAAAAAAAAAAAAAAGAAGATAGTAGGAAGGGAAAAATGAAGGGGGCAGAAATCGGAGGGGGAGATGAACCATGAGATAATATGGACTCTGAAAAACAAACTGAGGGTTCTAGAGGGGAGGGGGGTGGGGGATGGGTTAGCCTGGTGATGGGTATTAAAGAGGGCATGCACTGCATGGAGCACTGGGTGTTATACACAAACAATGAATCATGGAACACTACATCAAAAACTAATGATGTAATGTATGGTGATTAACATAACATAATAAATTAAAAAGAAAAAAAAGTGATTGATCTACCATCATGAGCTATCACTGTCCATCTGTCAGAATGGTAAAATAGTGACAACACCAAATGTTGGTGAGGATGTAGAGAAGTTAGATTATTCTTATATTGCTGGTGGGAATGTAAAATGTTAACTGCCACTCTAGAAAAGAGGATGACAGTTTCTTATAAACTAAATGTGTACTTACTATACAGCCCAGCAGTTACACTTTTAGGCATTATCCCAGAGAATGAAAACTTACATTCACACAAAAACCAGTGTGCACAATGCTCATTGAAGCTTGTTTCATAATAGACCAAATTCACCAAAAACCAGTGTGCACAATGTTCATAGAAGCTTGTTTCATAATAGACCAAAATCTGGAAATAACCCAGATGTCTTTCAACAGGTGAATGGTTAAACTATGGTGCCTCACACCATGAAATACTATTCAGCAATAAAGAGGAACAAACTTTTGATAAAACAAATATTGTATGATCCCACTTAGGTATCTAGAACAGGCAAATTCATAGAGACAAAAAATAGAATAAGGGGCTAAGAGGAAGGAAGACTGAGAGTTTTATCTAATGGGTACAGAGTTTCTATTTGGGATGATGTTTTGGAAGTAGAGAGTAGTGATGTGTTGGGTGTTTTTAAGTGATTTTATTTCTTTATTTGAGGGAGAGCACAAACCGGGAGAGGAGCAGAGGGACAAGCAGACTTCCTGCTGAGTGGGTAGCCCGACTCGGGACTCCATCCCAGGACCCCAAGATCATAACCTGAGCCGAAGTCAGATGCTTAACCAGCTGAGCCACCCAGGTGCCCCAAGAAGAGTGATGTTTTTATGTTATTGTGAATGTACTTAGTGTCACTGACTTATAGACTTAAAAATGGCTAAAATGGGGGCACCTGGGTGACTCAGTGGGTTAAGTGCCTGACTCCTGGTTTCAGATCAAGTCTTGATCTCAGGGTCCTAAGATAGAGCCCCATGTTGGGCTTCATGCTCAGCAGGGATTCTGCTTGAGATTCTCTCTCTCCCTCTCCTCTTGCCCCTCCCCCCACATGCTCTTTCTCTCAAATCTTTTTTTAAAAGACTAAAATGATAAATTTTATGTTATGTATATTTTATAATTTTTTAAAGAATAAACTTGATACAGCAGCAACTTTGAATGCTAAGTGAAAAAACTCAAAAGTGATTTACTTTCTGATTTCATTTATATAACATTCTTGAAATGTCAAAATCATTGAGATAGAAACATAGTGGTGGTTGCTAGAAGAGAGGGAGGTAGTTATGGCTGTAAAAGGGTAGCATTGAGGGATCTTTATAATGGAACTGTTGACTGTGGCGGTGGTCATGTGAATCTGCATATGTGATAAAACTGCATATATCTAAATACACACACAAACAAATGCATGTAAAATTGGTGAAATCTGAATAAGATAATCTTCATCAATGTTGATTTCCTCTACTATAGTTATGCTAGATATTAGGGGAAATTAGTTGGAGGGTTTATAGACTCTCTCTGTATCATTTCTTAGGATGCATGTGAATCTGCAATTTTTTCAAAATAAGAAGCTTTTTAAAAATAACCATGGTGGGGGTGGCGGGGCGCCTGGGTGGCTCAGTCAGTTAAGCATCAGACTCTTGATCTTGGCTCAGGTCTTGATCTCAGGGTCGTGAGTTCAAGCCCCATGTTGGGCTCCATGCTGGCCGTAGAGCCTTCTTTAAAAAAAAAAATAATAGTAGTAGTAATAACCATGATGGGGAGCTATATGCCTCCTATATATTGTTTCATTGAATTTTCACCTCACCCTTTGAGGTAGTTATTTCTATCCTAAATGTAAAGGTAAGGAAAACAAGACTCGGAGGTGAGAGCACTTGACCAAATCATTTGTTCAGGTCTTTCTAACTCCCAAACTCAGATCAACTTCAACTGCACTCTATTTCTCTGTCAGCTGAGGTGACTAGACTGAGTGAACCTTAGCTGAGCCTGGGCACAAAATGTTTCTCTGCCACGTTTTAGTAGCTTCCAGTACAACCCTTGACAAGGAAGACTAGAACTTCTCCCAGCTCTATTTCATGCCCAGACAAACTTTGTTAGAAAAACTTCAGTTCTAGGGCATTTGTTCTTCAGTGCATCGAGTCTGTTAATGCGATATCTATTTGTCTACAGTTGAAAATAAACAAGATTATTTTCCTCCAAAACCCTCAGATTCTTTCATCCTCCTCTCCCTCCCTGATTTCTCTCCTTTTACAATATAGTAATATCTGAAATTACTGACTTACAATAACTGAAACTCTGATTTATACTAATACACCACCTCCTCTTGGTCTGTTTTATTTTCAAGCTTAATTGTGGAAGGATAGATTTTGTTATACGAACACTTGCAAGATTATAATAACATAGATACTTCTTTTCTCCCTCTCCTTGCTCCTTTCATTCTTTCTTCCTTCCCCCTTCCTTTCTTCCATCAGAAGGTTGGCCATACTACTTACACATGTTCTGCCTGCCTGTGTCATTTTTTCCAAAGCCCCACTTCCACTGTCAGAAGTGTCATGGTTTGAATAATAAATTATATGATAATCTACCCAGAAAGTCATTAATCTGCCTTCCTGGGATCCATGAATGTTTGAGGAATACCTTAAACCACTAAAAGTGTTTATACATATGTGATTTTTATTGGAGGAGGTTCTATTGCTTGCAACAATTTCAAAGAGGACTGAGACCTAAAAATAGTTATTTAGTATCTTTTCCATTTCTGTCCTTCCTGTTAATTGGCATAGAATTTTAGAGTCAAATTCCTAAGAAATAGACTCTGGTCCTGCTCATCTTTTTCTACCAAGTTACAGATTATCTACTAGATTATGGATTAGCTACCTTGGGGTCAGATGCAATCTCCTGATCTAATTATCTCTGGGTGATTATGAAACATGGGTACCCATACAAAACCTAGGAGTTTCACTGAAAAGGAGCCATGAGAGTCTGAGGACAGTACGTGGGATTACTAGTACCTCATTAAACAGGTATTTATTGAATGCATTACTATTATTCTGGGCAAGGCCCATGACTTGTTTTGTGAAATAAACAGATGAATTAAGAATCTGGGCCTCAAAAAATTGCAGACGACCAAAATGTCCATGAACTGATGAATGGGTAAATAACATGTGGTAAATCCATATAATGGAATATTATTTGGCAATACAAAAGAATGAAATGCTAATCCTGCTACCACATGGATATGCCTTGAAAACATTATGTTAAATGAAAAGAAGCCATTCACAAAAGATACATACTGTGTTATTCCATGTGTAGGACATGTCCATAATAGGCAAATCTCTAGGGACAGAAAGTGGCTTAATGGTTACTTAGGACTCAGGGGGATGGGGAGGATGTTGTGTGACTTCTGGTCACTCCAGTGGGTATAGGGCTTTTTTGGGGGAAGTGATGAAAATGTTCTGAAACTGGTGATGGTTGCACAGTCTGAATATACTAACAATCCATTGAATTGTATGGTGAATTTACATTGGTAAATTGTATGGTGTATAAATATATCTCAGTAAAACTCTTAAATAACAATAATCCTGACTTTAAGAAATTTATAGTCCTGGGCGCCTGGGTGGCTCAGTTGGTTAAGCGACTGCCTTCGGCTCAGGTCATGATCCCGGAGTCCCGGGATCGAGTCCCACATCGGGCTCCCTGCTCAGCAGGGAGCCTGCTTCTCCCTCTGACCCTCCCCCCTCTCATGTGCTCTCTGTCTCTCTCATTCTCTCTGTCTCAAATAAATAAATAAAATCTTTAAAAAAAAAAAAAAAGAAATTTATAGTCCTTATGAGGTAAGATAAAACGAATACAAATACTTATAAACTGAAAGTAGAAAGTGATTGTAAATACTATTTAAATGAGAATCTGAAACATGTTGACATATTTTACATATTGGTCACAGGATTCACCTTTAATTCTCTGAGATCTGAAGTAGTTATGGAGAGAGATGATTACACACAGTTTTGGATAGGTTTAGAGATCAGAGGTGTCATGGAAGAAGTTGAATTTGAATTAGAGTATACATCAGTAACTTTTTGTTTAAAAAAGATAGGAAAGCCCTTCTAGGCCAAGAGAAAATTGAGAGTTCCAAAGCTGAGACTTAGAGAATAAAGCGAGAAACTGAACTTGACTAGAATATTATTCATTTTCATGTATTTTAAATGGTTACAGTGGCCTTGTACCCTAGATTTTCTATAACCACTCCAATTCAAATATTCCTTTCTTCTCCAGTAAGCTCTAGATATTGAAAAGCAGTTTACTGGACCTAAGCAGGGCACATTTTAAATATTTATCAAAAAGAACCTCAACAGCCCATGTGAACCAGTAGTAGATCAGTAAGGCCTAAGTTACATGTTGCTCAAATATATTATAATTGATTTCTGCCAATTTTCATGTCAGCAGTTGAAAATAATATATTTTTGAGCTGTTTAAATATCTACTAAAATTGCAAAGTGAAAATATGGCATGAAGTATTATTGCCCCCCATACCAAAAAAAGGGTACAACTAAAGCCTCCATAGATGTCTGATGTTTTAACTAACTAACATGAGTATTAACAAAAAATTTATATAGCCTAAAGAGATGATTATCTTATGTGGCCTCATTTGCTAATTTGGGCTACTTTTGTTGGAGGCAGTTAAAATATCTTAGAATTTCTGTATATCAGCATTTAAACTCTATCTCCCAGACTGCCTGGAAAGAAACAAAGCCTTCATGGACATGAAGGGAAATATTTTGGATAATATACATTATTATAAATGTTTACTTTATAAAAGCAGTTTGAATCTGGCTTCTTAACCTTTATAAAATTAAGAATTTTAAACAGATTCTATAGTAACCACTTTTTAATTAATATGTTTCAGTTCTGGAGGTGGTTTTTGGCAAACCTGGCTTCTGGTGGAGCTGCTGGAGCAACATCCTTATGTGTAGTTTATCCGCTAGACTTTGCCCGAACCCGATTAGGTGCTGATATTGGAAAAGGTATAGCATTTTCAAAAATACTAACTCTCCCTTCGTGTTTTGAGTGAAGCATTATTTATTGTAGTTATGCTATAATGACAGCTTGAAATACATTCTAAAAATCTTACCCGCAACCAAATGGTAGAGTCTTGGGCCTAAAGATTACTACGTTTTTCTTTTCCCTCAAAAGAAGGAAGGGGAAGGCCAACACTGTAGTAACAAAAGAGCAAATACAAAGACTTCTTGTAACTTACTTCTAGTTTTTTCCTAGAGAGCCACCTCTTCTATCCCTCCATGAACTTATTCCTGTTATTCCGTATTCAACTATGGCTCCTCTCTAGGTTACATGTACAGCTCTCATCCTAGAGATTCCCTTTTCCTATCTCCTTCCTTATTTTATTTATCACATCTTCCTGTGTTGTTGTTATATTCTTGTTTTGGTAGATATTCTTTAATAGCTTTCTAAGCTTTTTGAGAAGAGTGGATAGGAGATACATTGAGATCTTGCATGTCTAAAAATGTCTCTGTTTTACCCTTTTACTTACTATTTGGCCATATGTAAAATTCTACTTCAAAGTTACTTTGTTTCACAATTTTGAAAGCATTTCTCTGGATTCTTGTTCTAATATTGCTCTTAAGTAACTGATCTCCTAACTTTTGTGTATGACTTTTTTTCTTTTTAATTACTTTATGTACCTGATGGTTTTGACGTTTCACAATGATATATCTTGTGAGGCTTTTTTCAGCAATTGTGGAAGTAACTCACTTGGCCCCTTTCAGTCTGGAGCCTTGTGTTCAGTTCTGAGGATGGCAGAGGAGTAAGTCACTTGGTGCTCAAGGATGAGGTTTTGAGCATCCAGATGCTACTTTGCGTTCACTATAAGAACAATACTTATTTCGTCTAATTTCTAAGTCTTTCTGAGGTTATTGGGGTAAAATGGGTTGCTTTTCCTTCCGCAAGAACGTAGGTTTCAGCTTTTTTCTGCTCTGACTTACCACTCCTCCATCTGCTTTCCATCTTGCTAAAATTTGTGGATTTCATTCTCTGTCATGTACTGTTCTTGCCTATATGGCTTTAAACTTGTTTTGTTCTTTTATTACCATTTTAGTGGAATTTCTTAAGAAAGCAGAGATTTATTCAACAAATACTTAATGAGTGCTTGCTGGGACCCAGACCCTGCCTCAGATATAAGATGAGAGACATACACATAGACACCCCATATAAAACATGGAGCTCATGCTCATGTACCTTATGGTTTAGGGGAAGACACAAGTAATAAAAAAATGAATGACCAAAATATACTGTGATTTAGCAATAAATGACACGCAAAGATATTTAGGAGCAGGGAGTGACATCAATTTTAGATGAGTGATTAGAGAAAATGCCTCAGAAAGGGTGGCAGTTTGAGCTAAGATGTAAATAATGAGTTCCATCTAACATGTATAACTGGCAGTTCAAATATTCTTGTTATTGTTAAGAAAGTGACAAAAACTCCTATATCTTGTTTTTAGTTCAGTTCTGTAATTTTCTATTCTCTCAGGATTGGGAGAATTTAGTTTATTTTGAAAACTATATTCTACATACAATATTTTTAAAATATTGTCAAAGAGTTCTAGGTGAAGGGAAAATAAAATCAAAACCAGCAAACACTAGAAAAATATAACTCATCTAAAATGTTAATGATCCTTAAAGTTGCTGGTTTTTAACTTTGTCTTTTTACTGTATCTGTCTTTCTGCCTTTCAACTGAAGCAAGTCATAGAATTTTTCATTCCCATTTTCTGAATTCCAATTAGTAGCTTCTGGTAATTTTATTGAAATGTTTTAAGCCAGTCAAATTGCTTGAATTAGACTGTTTTTATAAGGTTAATATTTTGAGTTAAAATCTTTTAAAATATTATTTGAAACCTTAATTCTCTTTAAAGAAATGGGAGGATTTTGATTTGTGTCCTTTTTTATTAGAAAAATTTCTAAATGGCAGTTTCAGATATTTTAAATCTGTAAGATTAATTTACTTTGATTAAAGTGTTTATCTGATATATAATGTTGCTAATACGTTTTAAATGGCTTTATTTTAGGTCCTGAAGAGCGACAATTCAAGGGTTTAGGTGACTGTATTATAAAAATAGCAAAATCAGACGGAATTGTTGGTTTGTACCAAGGATTTGGTGTTTCAGTTCAGGGTATCATTGTGTACCGAGCCTCCTATTTTGGAGCATATGACACAGTTAAGGTAATTTGGGGCTTTAACTGATATATATTGAATACATGGTTTGTTTCTTTTTATTGTTTTAATTAGTAGTTTGTTCAGCAGATATGAACTTTCGCTTTTAATTATAGAAATCAAAATAAATGATGAAATAAGAGACATAGAATCCTGTTTAATTGTGACTTTGCCATAACCTTATTGAATTATAACTCTATTATGGATCTGACTTTAGATATAAAGCATAAACCCAAACATTAAGTTTTTGTGCTGTTTGCAACTGAAAGACTCACTATACATCATGTTTCAAATAGAAAACATGCTAATTAGGCTTACATCATAATCAAATCAAATCTTTAGCATATAGAAAGGCATCTTCTAACAGTTTTTCTGATTTTACATTCATTTTATTATCACTTTCTTACATGCAGATAATCAGCTTACTATCTCATCATTTTAGAAAGTAGGCAAGGCATAACTAATTAGTTAAATGTAATAAATGCTACTACAGCTCAGTTATCTATTGGGCACTGTTAGATTCTGTATTGTATTCTCCAGGTTCTGCAATTTGTTTTTTCATTTCAGATTTTAACAGAATTTCCATAAAGTAGGAAAGAGGAAGATTGTAATAATGGCTACCATATTTTGAGTTACTACTTAGTTCTAGGAACTTTGTTAAGTCCCTGCAATAACCTAGGATAGCTTTTAATATCTCCCTTTTTAAAGATAAACAACCTAGGAATAGTTAAGCAATTTGTGTTAAGTGGCAAACAAAAATCCCATGCTCTCAGTCACTTCCAAGAGGAAGGAGTGAAATTAATATTAGTGTTGTTTATAAATAAGATTAAAACTTGAGGGAAATTTTATATGTTTTACATATTGTCTTGGCCTTCCCTCATTAGTATAAATGTAATTGAAGGTCATTTTTATTGTGGTCTGGACATGTTACTTTCAGTTTCTTGTGTATTTTTTAGACAGATTAAGTTAATGGAAATTAACAGTTCTTATGTATGTTTATTTAGTCATGGAAAACTTTATGTATGCTCTCCCTCTGTTTTTCTCTATTATCACCTGTAGTAGTTATGAAATTTAGGAGTGTTTCTTCACTAGCTTAGAGCTTTAAAGATGCTTATCAAATACCTATTGATGATAATGTCAGGCATTATTTAATTTTTTTTCAACTCTGAAGAGAGCTAAAAACTTTTTTGGTCACTGGCAGCTATCTCCCCTAGTGTTTGCCATTAATAACAAATCTCTGGTAATAGCAAGTATGCTTTCTTTTTTCAGGAATGCTTTTAAAGTAAAGCCATGTGTGGCATATTTCTTTCTTATTCATCTCCTGATACTATTTTAATCTTTCCACATCCAACTGTGTTTTATTGCATTTTAAGTATAATTGAACCCTCTTTCATTATAGGAAGTTATACTTTGACTTAAGAATTTAAGATATTTGGGAAATTTAGATGGTTATTTGACATGTTTTTCTTTTCTAGGGCTTATTACCAAAACCAAAGGAAACCCCATTTCTTGTCTCCTTTTTCATTGCTCAAGTTGTGACCACATGCTCTGGAATTCTCTCTTATCCCTTTGACACAGTTAGAAGACGCATGATGATGCAGGTATTTTATATTATTATTTACGAGTTTAATTGAATTTTCCAGTATCTTTGATATTCAAATATAATTTATTCAAATATTAGAGAAATTTTGGCTGAAAGGCAGGTCATCTGTTTTACTTACTAAAATAAATGCATGATGTGCTCTGTCTTATATCCTTTCCTATCCCAAAACAGCCATCATCCAGCAAAAGTTTCTTCCTCTTCTGTTATTAGAATAGAAATGCCTTCCACTCCTGTAACATATTGTTTGAAAGGTGGAGAGGGGTGGCAGGGATTGGATGAGTATGTCTATCCTAAATCAATATTAGGTTAAGTAGAATAAATCCTGTCACAAGCCACTGACATATGTCATTATTTGTTGTAATACGTTTTAATAAAAGTAAATAATTTTTAACTCCAAGGATGAAAACTTGTTTAAAATGATGTGCTCTAAGTATAAATCTCTGGGGCCCCTGGGTGGCACAGTTGGTTAAGCGTCTCACTCTTCATTTCTGCTCAGGTCATGGTCTCAGGGTCGTGAGCTTGAGCTCTGTGTTGGGCTTAAGACTCTCTCTCTCCCTCTGCCCCTGCTCCATGCTTTCTCTCTCTCAATAAATAAAATCCCTAAAAATAAATACATAAATAAATATAAATCTCCAAATCAGAATTTTGGTACAGTCTTCATTGATGTTACTTGTTACATTCATTTATTCAGCAAATATTTGAATGCCTAATCTATGCTAGATTACAGCAACACAAATAAAATAAGGTAGAACCTGTTTCCAAATTCATAGCATATCATTGAATGCATACAGTTAATGGTTTAAATAGAAATGTGCATAGGTTCCAGGAATGCAATAGAAGAAGGATACCTAAATGCTTAAAGTGATCAGATGTAGCCCCTTGGAGAGCTAAATCTCTGTAAATAGATTTTTTCCCTCCAGATAGTGAGAGAACATTCTAAGCAGAGGGGAAAAAACATACGTAGAGGTATGGCTTAAGGAGTAGTAGTAGTTCAGTGTACCTAGATGATAAGGTTCATGAGGGCAATTGAAAATAAAATAATGAGGCCAGAAAGCTAGAATAGTTATATAATGCTTATTGTGTTCCAGATATTGTCCTAAGCATTTTGCAGTTTAACTCACTTAATTCTCAAAACAATGCTGTGAAGTGTAGTTACTATCATTATCCTCATCCTCATTTTATGTCTACAAATTGGTCCTGGGAGAACCCTGTAGGCCACCTGAAAAGGTAAAACGTACATATTATTATTCACTAATAGACTATTTTTAAAGTTACTCCTTTTACGTGTGTGTTTCCTCTTGATCTATATGTAGCTCTAGTTTAATACATTGAAAAACCTTTTTAAATGGAAAATTAATTTGTATACAGGCTGTGGATTAGGTAAACGATACTGTATTGATGTTACATTTTCTGATTTTGCTAACTGTACTTTGGGTTTGCAAGAAAATATTCTTATTTTTAGAAAATTCACACGGAAGTGTTTAAAGGTAAGGAACATGATAATCTGCAACTTACCATCAAAATAATTTTTAAAAAATTGTGAGTGTATGGGGCTTTAGATATAGGTGTGTGTTACTAGCACTGCCATAAACAAAGCACCAGAGACTGGGTGGCCTCAGCAACAGAAATTTTTTTCTCACAGTTCTAGAGGCTAGAAGTCTGAGTCAAGGTGTCCAGCAGGGTTGATTTCTTCTGATGGCTTCTCTCCTTGGCTTGTACATAGCTGTCTTTCTCCTTGTGTCTTCCCATGGTCCTCTTTCTGTTTCTCTTCTTATAAAGATAGCCAAATTGGATTAGGGCCTCCCTAACAAGCTCATTTAATCTTAATTACCTTTATAAAGACGCTGTCTGATGAATGGATAAAGAAGATGTGGTGTGTATATATATATATACACACACACAATGGAATATTACACAGCCATCAAAAAATGAAATCTTGCCATTTACAACAACGTGGATGGAACTGGAGGGTATTATCCTAAGTGAAATAAGTCAATCAGAGAAAGACAGTTATCAGATGATTTCACTGATATTTATGAAAATTTAAGAAACAAGGCAGAGGATCATAGGGGAAGAGAGGAAAAAATGAAACAAGACAAAACCAGAAAGGGAGACAAACCATAAGAGACTCTTAATCATAGGAAACAAACTGAGGGTTGGAGGGGAGTGGGGTGGTAACTGGGTGATGGACACTGGGAAGGGTATGTGTTGTAATGAGCCCTAGGTATTATGTAAGACTGATGAATCACAGACCTGTACCCCTGAAACAAATAATACATTATAAATACATACATACATACATAACCTGTCTCCAAATATAGTAACATTCTGAGGTATTGGGGATTGGGACTTCAATATATGAATTTTGGGGAGACACAATGCAAACCCATAATAGTACTTAAATTTTTATATTTTCATTTTATATCCAACAACTTTGTTAAACCCTATTACAAATGCTAATCTGTATGTACACTCGGAAGTTGTGTGGGGTATTTTTTGTTGTTGTTTTACACACACAGGTATATAATCTGTGATTAATGCTAGGTTTCTTCCCCTTTCTAATCAATTCTTGTACCTATTATTTCCTTTTCTTGCCTTTCTGCACTGACTGAGACCTCTGATTCAGTGTTATTAAAGAAGTAATAATTAGGGGCACCTGGGTGTCTCAGTTGGTTAAGCAGCTGCCTTCAGCTCAGGTCATGATCCCAGGGTCCTGGGATCGAGCCCCGCATCAGGCTCCCTGCTCAGCAGAGAGCCTGCTTCTCCCTTTCCCTCTGCCTGCCGCTCTGCCTACTTGTGCTCTCTATCTCACTGTCAAATAAATAAATTAAAGGGGGCGGAGCAAGATGGCGGAGGAGTAAGAGACCTGGAATTCGTCTCCTCTCAGGAATTCAGCCGGATAGGGATCAAACCATTCTGAACACCTACAAACTCAACAGGAGATCAAAGAAAAGAAGAGCAACAACTCTCTCATCAGAAAAGCGACCACTTTCTGGAAGATAGGACATGCGGAGAAGTGAATCCGAGGCGCTATTCGGGAGGATAGACGGCGGAGGAGGGGTCTCTGTCGGCCGCTTCTGGCAAGTGATAGAACCACGGAGCACAAAATCGGAACTTTTAAAAGTCTGCTCCGCTGAGGGACATCATTCTGGTGGCTAAGCGGGGGGTGGGACCCTCTGGGACAGTGTGGTCTCAGGACCCTTGGGGTCACAGAAAGACCAGGGGTGCCTGAGAGTGGCAGAGCTCCCAGGTAACGGAGCAGGGAAGCCGGCTGCAGAGGCAGAGCCCAGGCGCAGGCTCTCAGCTCGGGGTTGCCATAAACCGTGATCCGCAGCACAGTCGGGCCACTGCTCCTCCAGCAGGGACCCAACAAGCAGCAGATCTGGGGAGACTAGCCTTCCTCCCCCCAGGAGGAGCCGCGCGGGAGTGCACCGCAGGGATCTGCTGGGTTTGGAGACTCCACCCGGGGTCGGGTGCCAGAGATAGAAACGCGCGGTCACAGGCCGGGTGAGCACGGAGTGCGGCCGGAGACCGGGGAGACGGGAGTGACTGACTGCTTTTCTCTGGGGCGCACTGAGGAGCAGGGCCCCAAGTTCTCGGCTCCTCTGGGGTGGAGATTGGGAGGCCGTCATTTTCACAAAGCTGTACGGAAAGCTCGCAGGGAACAAAAGCTCTGGAAAGCAACCGGAGCAGATTACTTAGCCCGGACCAGGCAAGGGTGAGGCAATTCCGCCTCCGGCAAAGACATTTGGAAATCACAGCAACAGGCCCCTCCCCCAGAAGATCAGCGAGAACAGCCAGCCAAGACCACGTTTACTGATCAATGAGAACGGCAGAACTCCAGCGCTAGGGGAATACTGCACATAGAATTCATGGCTTTTTTACCATGATTCTTTAGTCGTTCAAAGTTAATTTTTTTTTTAACTGTCTTTTTTTCTTTTTTTTTTCTTTAATTTTTCTTTTTCTCTCTCTCTTTTTTTTTAAAGATTTTATTTATTTATTTGAGACAGAGAGAATGAGAGAGAGCACATGAGAGGGGGGAGGGTCAGAGGGAGAAGCAGACTCCCTGCCGAGCAGGGAGCCCGATGCGGGACTCGATCCCAGGACTCCAGGATCATGACCTGAGCCGAAGGCAGTCGCTTAACCAACTGAGCCATCCAGGCGCCCCTTTTTCCCTTTTTCAACCAACATCTTATCAATCCCTTTTTTAAAAAACATTTTTATTTTTCATTTTTAGAGTCATATTCTATCCCTTCATAGTAGTTACCTATATTTTTGGCATATATATATAAGTTGTTCTCTCTTTAAAATTTTGAGAGAGTTTCTTCTAACAGATCAAAATATACCCTAAATCTCTAGTATATGGTTTTTTCTACTCCCCTGCCTGATCACATTCTCTCCCTTTTTTTTTCTTTCTTCTTTTTTTAAATCCTCTTCTTTCTTTTTTCAAACAACTTCCTATCAATTCCTTTTATAAAATTTTTTATAATTTCCATCTTTACACTCATATTCCATCCCTTCATCATATCAACCCTTATTTTTGTACATATATAAGTTTTTCTTTAAAATTTTGGGAGGCACTTTCTTCTAACAAACCAAAACACACCCCAAATCTAGTGTGTGGCACTGATCTATATACCAGCCTGATCATATTTGATCACATTCTGGTTTTATTTGTTGTTGTTGTTTTGTTTGTTTTTGTTTGTTTTTATCTTTCTCTTTTTCTTTTTTCTCTCTTTCCCGTTCTTTTCCCACTGCTTCAGGTCTTTTCTGATTTGTTTAGAGTATATTTTCTGGGGACGTTGTTACTCTGCAAGCATTTTGTTCTCTCATTAATCTATTCTCCTCTGCACAAAATGACAAGATGGAAAAAATCACCTCAACAAAAAGAACAAGAGGTAGTACTGACTGCTAGGGACTTACTCAATGCGGACATTAGTACAATGTCAGATCTAGAGTTCAGAATCATCACTTTAAAGATACTAGATGGGATTGAAA